CACCTGTTAGGGTCCCAGCTATGGGCAAATAGTTAACTATTACCAGCAATACTTTTTTTGAAAAAAATTATTCCCAGCAATACAATTTTGAAGGAAATATATTGCCAGAACCTTATTTTTGACAAAACAAAATATTACCAGCAATAAAAAAATTTTTGTCAGCATTAAATAAACAATTGAGGTTGATATGCCGTTAAACAAAATAAACCAAACCAATCTAAACCAAAGAATACATACTCTATTCATACGAATCTCTCCTAAAAAGGTTGTCGGCATTAAATAACCCATTGAGGTTCATATGCCGTTAAACAAAATAAACCAAACCAAACTCATAGATGTAATTATTTTTTTATGTAATTAATTTTAAAGATCGTCTGAAAAATAAACAAAAATACGTCATTTCCTCAGGGTTTTGCTTAAAAACTTTCTTCAAAATTTTACTTCATTGTAATAGTTGAATAAGTCTGGTAAGAAGCTATAGACATGTCTTACGCCACACTCTGTTTGTTTTACTGAATTCATTTTTTATCCGTATGCAGGCTGTTTGTTACCAGGATAAAGCTTGTCTAACACTTCCAAAAGTCCTTTGTGACGTACTTTTTTAGGTAAATAATATTAGCTGGGGAGACGATCGTAGCGTGTGGCACTTATTGAGGAAGTGCTTGAAAATCATATCATATTTTTAACTCCAGTCTTGATGTTTCCTCCTTGAAATTTGAGAGACAAAACATTTTGGAAGCCGTCGATGGTTGTGTTATAAGTTATGCTAATGGTCATAATAAAACCTTCTGGTTCTGGCATTGTATGACCCATAAGTGGTTGATATGGCATTAAACAAAACGGATCCACTTGCAGAACGACATGATACTTGTACGATGATATCTAGTTAGAAACATATGGCCATCTTAACACATCTGCAGTTATATTTAATCTGATCTGTGCTGTAAATTCCTACTGCTGCAATAAGGCGGGATTGATTCGTCCCTTCTTTTTAAAGAAAATCAACTCAGTGCGCAAGATCAAGTTTAATGTGATAATTATTGATATCAAAAATTAAATTCATAGCGTTTACCAATTTGTGGGCATTTTGTTTTTAAGATTATCTGAAAAATGTATAGAAATACCTAATTTCCGAAGGGTTTTGCTTAAAAACTGACTTCAAAATTTTACTGTTTCAAGAGTAAATCCAAATAAAGCCATTTGTATTAGATACATTGAATGGAAAATATATTCAAAGTAGAATTCTAATTATGAATCGCCACAAGCAAATCGCCCTGTCAACCGGGGCTGCAGAGGGGTAAAATCCCCACCCCACCAAATGGGGCGTCCTGGGTAAGACGTTAAACTACATCCGCGTCCTGGGTAAGACGATAAACTACGTCCAGCAGCAAGGCCTCTGATCAGGAGGTTTTGAGGAGCGTGGAACCACCTCTTAATTGATGTTGTTCCCAGGTCCACCCTGACCCGTAGTGGTAGCACCTGTTAGGGTCCCAGGTATGGGCAAATAGTTAACCCCGAAACTGGGGTAAAAATACTATTAAAGTGTAAAAATAGGTTTTAATAACAGAAATACTTTGTAAAAAATAATTATTATCAGAAATAAATTTTTGAAGAAAAAAAAAAAACTATCAACAATACGTTTTTGTAAAAAATATTACCAGCAATACATTTTTGGATAAAATTATTACCAGCAATGCATTTTTGAAGGAAAAAATTATTACCAGAAATAGATTTTTGACAAAACAAAATATTACCAACAATAAAAAAAATTTCGGCATTAAATAACCCATTGAGGTTGATATTCCGTAAACCAAACCAAACTAAACCAAAAACAAAATATACCATTTTAACTGTATTCGATAAGTAAAAACTGTGTAAAAAAATTGTAAATGATTGCAAAAAAAAGGCTACTCAATGAATAAGATTTGTTAGATGATTTGTTAGATCATCTCTGTATAGAAAAGAGAAGGAGGATGTGTGTCTGTGTAATACCTTTTCACTCGAGATCCATCCAACCGATTTTAACCAAACTTGGCATATACATTGTACTATGTAAGAGATAGGCTCTTAGCGAAAGTCGATTTTAGCACAAATCGATTTCAACAAAAATTTAAAAAAAACTCCCTCAATTTTCAAGCAATCTAATACAAACTTCACTCAATTGTAACCAACAATAAGTTGATTGCTTAACAGTCATTTAACTTGATAATTGAGTCAACTCATATAGTGAAAACCTGCATAAATAGCAAAATTATTTAACCAAAACTGTTTGAATATATATATATATATATATATATATATATATATATATATATATATGTATGTATATATATAACAAACGATGACTGCCTATGTGATACCTTTTCACTCGTGATTCATCCAAATGATTTTGACTAAACTTGTCACATACATTGTACAAAGATATTTAAGAATATATTGCGTCAATCATCCAATTAGGGAAATGGTGGGAGGAAACAAAACCTGTCATTCGTCCAATCCGCATATATATATATATATATATATATATATATATATATAAAGTATTATTAACCCAAATAAATAAACAAGCCACACCCGCCAAAATAACCGCCAGAATGGATTACCCACAATGCACCACTGACCTATATATATATATATATATATATATATATATATATATATATATAAAGAAAAAAAAGAGCGTGATCAGCATCCTGATAAAAAAGACGCTCAAATTCTCGGTCACGATGACTTGTGATTTCTTGCTAGCACAACCAATGACATCAACCCAATTTCTCTCATACGGTCTATGGTTTTCAGGTATTTTTCAAACGTGCCGAACGCCGGGATCGATTTGTTACAAATCGACTATGGTGACCATTCAAACCCGGGTCTCATGTTTAGAAAGCAGACGTTCTAACCACTTGACCATCTAATTCTGTAGTTATTTATAAAACGGTAACTAATAAATGTTCCGCTTCATACATATGCCCGGTCTTGCTCCCTGTTTAGGATTGGGTTGCCAGTTCCTTCTAAAGTCTTCTCGTTCTCTTCTCACTTCCAGTTGCCCATTACGTCTTAGTGGCATTATCGCCTTGCTTGGGGTGAATTGATTAAAAAGAATTGCATTGTAGTTGGTTTACACATTTTTGTAATTTTTCAAATTTTTATGAATTTTTTAATAAAAAGATTTATTTTCAAACCTTTATAAATAATAAATATCGCATTGTACTTGGTTCACATATTTTTCATAATCTTGTAAATGAAAATTGTCGAGGGAGTCAAAAGTGTATACAGTAATAGTGGTGTCAAGGGAAGAACCATCCTATTCATACACCGTTCTTTTGCAGGCACAAAGATTAAACTTTGCAGACACCCATATGCATATATTTTTCATTTCTTTATTTTTCATATTACTTTGAAACAACGGTATTTATACGATCACTGAAGTTAAGCAACGTCGAGCCTGGTTAGTACCTAGATGGATGTGCGGGTTATGTAATGGGTAACGGCTCAGAATTGGAAACCAGAGAGCCGAGTTCAAATTCCAGTCGGGTAAAGTATGAATCCACTTCTTCTCCCCTTCGCTATGGGTTAATTAGTAGGACTTGTATTAACAAATCACTATTATCTCCAAAAAATTCTTACAATCTTAAAAATTTTTTCTGGCTTTAAATGATTTGTAAAAGGTTGATAAGCCGTAAAAACAAACAAATCAATCAATTCCCAGTAATTAGAGGCACACATATATTAGGAGGTATACACACATAAACAAAGACTAAATCCAAACAATGAACACATCATATCTATCCGACCAGTGAAAACGGACAGTATAGAATTCAAATTACTGAAACATTCTCAATATGTTGCATCATTTCCTTAAAACAGTATGCGTTCTGGGTAAGACGATAAACTGCATCCGCGTCCTGGGTAAGACGATAAACTGCATCCGCGTCCTGGGTAAGACGATAAACTACATCCGTGTCCTGGGTAAGACGATAAACTACGTACAACAGCAAGCCCTTTGATCAGGAGGTTTTGGGGAGCGTGGAACCACCTTTTAATTAATGGTGTTCTTAGGTCTACCCTGACCCGGGGTGGTAGCACCTGTTAGGGTCCCAGCTATAGGAAAATAATTAGCCCTCAAACTGGGAAAGTGTAAAAATAAGTTTTAATACCAGCAATATATTTTTGTAAAAAATTATTACCAGCAATGAATTTAAAAAAAAAAAAAGATTATGGGCAAGACATTGGTAGCAGCAATACATTTTTGGAAAAAAATATTCCCAGCAATAAAAATCTTGTCGGCATTAAATAACTCATTGAGGTTGATATGCCGTAAAACAAACCAAACCAAAAGTGATGATGAAGCTAGCAATAAAGTCAGTGAAACATGTCAAATTTATAAAGATTTCTTATTTGTTAATCATTCATCAGTATACGTAAATCTGTGTAGGAAGATTTTCTATAAAGTAACAAGCCAACCTACACACTTGAATACGAATAAAATTTAAATTATGTAAGAAATGTTCGCTCAGTGGAATGCGCATCCATTCTAAAGAGAGAATTGAAATTCTGCGATACTTTGGTAAGAATATATTGGAATCTAAATCAAGTTTATTTATCGTAAAGCATTAAAAATAACGATCATCAACATCAATAAATCCAGAGCCTAATTTATTTTACGCAAAAAAAATATTGCTTTTTCAGTATTAGTTCGTTCCTTTCAAGGATATTATAAATCGTACATTATACAGAGCAATTTTCAGGTCAAAATTCAGCTATATGTCCAACTAAAGGAAAGAATGAAAACGCGGCTTAGACACACACACACACACACACACACACACACACACACACACACACACATATATATATATATATATATATATATATATATATATATATAGAGAGAGAGAGAGAGAGAGAGAGAGAGAGAGAATGGATGAGATAGATAGATAGATGTGAAAAGACTGGGAAAGAAAGAAAGAAAGAAAGAAAGAAAGAAAGAAAGAACAGGC